AAGCCACAGGCACCGAGCCACAATTTATCTTTCATCTCTGGAACTTTCTCATCTCCTCAAACTGAAGCTCTGTCCCCATTAAATACTAACTCCCTATCCCCTGGCACTTGTTACTCTGCTTTCTGTGTCTATGAATTTGACTGCCCTAGGGAGCTCAGACAAGTGGAATCACATGTCCTTTTGTGCCTGGCTTATTTCACTGAGCATAACACCCTCAAGGTCCATCCACATTGCAGCCTGCATAGAGGTGAGGATTTTCCTGCAAACTTGGAGAAAATACTGACTCTGATGGCTGCTGCAGAGCCCTCAGGCATCACAACACTACAGAGCTGAGTGTGAACTTCAAATTTGAGTGTGTGGTGGTTTACAAATATATCCAAAAACTATTGCTGCTTCTTCAAGAGGTGAGGCTTAGGGCCCAGAGGATGGCTAGACTCAGGTACCCACTTTGTTTTTTGTTTGTTTTTTGTTAAATCATAGCTGTGTACATTAATGTAGTCATGGGTACAATGTGCTGGTTCTATATACAATCTGAAATATTTTCATCAAACTGGTTAACATAGCCTTCGTGGCATTTTCTTAGTTATTGTGTTAAGGCATTTACATTCTACATTTAGAAAGATTCACATGTACCCTTGTAAGATGAACCATAGGCGTGGTCCCACCAATTACCCTCCCTCCACCCAACCTCCCTCCTCCCCTCCCCTCCCTCTCCCCAGGGACCCAGCATGGCAAGGCAATTCTAGTTTGTGCCTCTGGGATGAGACAGTAAAGGGCAACACAGCTTGCACAGTGGGCACTTTCACTTTCTGCCCAGGACCGCTCCTTCAGGGAAGCTGGACATCACATCACGAGCAGCCATGCAGTGAAGGACCGAGCCCACAGCTGCACGCTGAGTGTGGAAGCAGGGACTCCAGCCCCGTCTAACCTTCAAATGGTGCAGCCCTTGCACCGACACCCTGCTGGCAACTTCCTGAGACATCTGTGCTACAGCCACCTGCTGAGCCCTTCCAAACTCCTCATCCACAGACACTGGAGATGTTTCCTGTTTGAAGCCACTATGTTTGGGGGTGATCCGGCAATAGACAACCAATACAAAGGGCTCTATGCCAGAATTGCCCAACCAGCAGTTATTTAAGAGCCACCACAATGAACCAGACCCAGGGTTTAGTGCTACAGGCAGAAATGAAATTCCAGACTTACAAGTATACATTCCCCAAGCTCTTTCCCCAAATATTACCTTCTTAACATCCTGAGAGACTGGGGCTACAATCTGCATTTTAAGGATAGAGAACAAGACTCAGGGAGCTCCAGCATGGAGGGTTCGCAGGGGGGATCAGGAGTCAAATTACCTTTGCTGATGACTCCCCCATTCTGCAGATCCTGGCTGAGGCTCAGACAATATCTGGGATACTGGGACAGAGCAGCCGTCAGATCCCAAAGCAAGGGCCGGGGGATGCTGCTGGGAGTTGGAGGCAGGGCTGAGGAAGATCTGGCTCAGATGCACAGAGGAGGGGACTGCCAATCAGTCAGGGAGCCTGAGCTAGGAGTGGTGCCCAAGTCCTCAGGACACTGGCCCGGCTGGCAGAGAAGGGGAAGGCACAGCCAGAGACTGGGAGGACAATGGGGTTGTGCAGGGTCCAGGCTGCAGGGGGTCAATAGCATCACACTGAGAGAGGCAGGTGAGCTCTGAGGGCATGGATAGGGCAGCCAAGAGGGCAGGCCCATGACTGCTGACTCAGCCTTGCACACAGCACCCTTCTTCACTCCGGGAATCCCTACTTTGTTCAAGGGGTGCCGTGCTCAGCCTTGAGGGAAGAATCACAGGTGATCTAAGCCAGACCCAGCAGGCTCACTCCCTTCTGTTAGATGTTTGCTCTCTCAGTCTGCCTGGCAACCAGAGGCAGGCACCGCCAGATAATTAGCCAGGAGGCCAGAAGGCTGAGAACAAAAACCTGAAACCCAACTCAGTAAACAGGAAGACAAAATGGGGGCACAATCTCTAGGTCATTTTGAAGAACCAGAACAGCCATGGCCACCTGGGGCAAGCCAAAGCACCTCCTTGTCTCTGCCTGCACCCTTCCCTACTTCCACTCTGGCCAGTAGAGTCCAGCGCCTCTGAAGCCCAAGCAGGACTCCCTCCTCCTCAGGATGTAAGTGAGAGGGTCTTTTCCTCCAGCACCTGCCATTCTTCCAGGCCTCTGCTGAGAAACCAGTGGGGAAGCTATCACCCCTGGGGCTGCTGCCCACCTCCAGCTTTTCCCAATCACTAAGGTTCTGGGAACAAATGCTTCTCCCCTCACTGGAAATGTCATGTCTAAAATTAAGGTGGGTGTTGGCATGACTGCCAGGAATGAGATGGAGGAGGGAAAGGCAGGAAGCATGACCTCCCTGACAGGCTCAGCGCTCATGCAGGGTCTTGCTGGAGGAGAAGCTTCAGAACCCCAGCTACTCCAGAAGGTCGAAGGCCTAGCTGCTCCTGACCTTGAAATCCACCCCCACCCTGCTACCCTGAGTTCTACCTGGGAAGCCACCAGGGCTTCCCCCAGAGGCTGTGCCAGCCTGTGGGCTTTCTTCTTTGCTGTCCAGGGCTTGCCTTCCAGCAGGGGATCCAGAGGCAAGATGGAGGACAAAGAGACCTGGACACGGTGAGGTTTCAGTATCTCTCACCCTAGGCACAATTCACAGCCAGAATCCATGGGGACACCTGGGATGTGTGGTTTGAAAAGGCCACCCAGAGAGTCTGACACATAACTCTCTCCCCCAGCACTCCATGAAGGACTACCAATCAGAGAGAGAGCAAAGGCCACACAGACCTGGGTTTGAACTACTTACTGCACACGAATACTCAAATCTCTCTATGCCTCAGTTTCCTCACCTATATAACAGGGCTATCGACAGTACCACCTGCTACCAGGCTGTCCCGAAGCAATCAGGAGATAACAGAAGGGAAAAGGTTTCCGCTAACAAGGAACTCACTGAGTCAGCTGGGCTTGAATGAGATCTGGGACGCACCCTGTAGCTGCCAGTGCAACTCAACCACATTTTGACAGCATCTGAACCTCAAATTTATCCTCTGCAAATGGGTATTTGTAAGACTACCCATTTACAGGATTGTCCTGAGGGCTAAAAAAAGTAAGTGCTTGTCTCATACCTAGAACAAGGTGGTTATCACAAAGGTCTGTCCCCTGACGGCCCCATGAGTCGAGGCTCAAAGCATACAGTCACTCTACAGTGTCCCCAGGGGCTCCTCCTGCCTCAGAGCAACACAACCCCAGCTTCCTGGGGCTGCCAGTTGCAGCAATATAGGTCAGGTCTGTAGGGCCAGCAACTGGGCATTCAGGGCAATGGGCACAGTGGCTGAGAGCAGAGGAGAGGGGGCCCCAGCTGTGGGCACCCTGAGGCAGGGCTGTTCAGCACCTGTCCCCACCATGCCTTGTACCAAGCACTTGTCTGGCCAGACTGTATACTGAGCCCTGGGGATCCCAGGAGGAGTCAGACAAGGGTCCCTGCCAGGGGGAACTTGTACTTTTGAGGTAAGACAGGGAGGCTGTAAGGAACTGTGGGGACTCCAGAGGAGATTTCCCAGAGGAGGATTCCTCAGCTATATCTTGAGCAAACACCATGAACAAAGCACAGAAGTGAGACAAGCAAAGGAGCTGCTGTTGCTGGCACAAGACGGTGGGACCCAAGGGCATCCAGGATATGAGGCCTGTGGAAATACCACACTTGGATTTGAAATGAGTTAGTTGTCTTTACCACCACCATCACCACAGTGAATTTGCCATTATTACCACTACCATCAATACCATCACCACCACTGTCCCTGTTAGCACTTGGATTTGAAATGAGATGGACCAGTTGGCTCACTCTCTGAGTTTTGCTTTGTTCACCTGTCACCTGGGGCAACAGGCCCTCTCCAGGGATGTGGGGATACAGGGAAGACACACAGGATGAGCTCCTGGCACACAGTTGGCTCTGTGTAGAAGCTACAAAAGAAAGGGACGTGAGGGCCTGAGAAGCAAGGGGGGTGTCTATAATGCTGCCTTCTCACTGGAAGGGCAAAGTGTAGGGACTGAGTGACTGAGTGTAGTACAGACTCTCTACAGCGTCCCCAGGGGATCCTCCTGCCCCAAAGCAACATAACTCCAGCTTCTAGGGGCTGACACTTGCCATGCTATAGGTCAGACAGCTATAGGTTTAGGACTGACAGCAGTAAGCAACTGAGATGGGGGAAGACTCTGGGTCACATATGAGAAAAGGAGACAGTACTAAAAACATCTTGATATTTAAGTAGGGAAATTGGAGCCCACACCATGGTGAAGTGACCATGGGACTTGAAGTGTCCGTCACCAGGCCCGGATTCATGTTCTGGTTATTTGCTCTTGAGAGTCACTTCATTTCTTAGGGTCTATTTCTACATCTGCAAAATGGGACTGAGAATCATAGGGCCTCCTCATTAAGACGGCCAGAGGATTGGGTTGGATGCTGTCTATGAAAAGCATTGGGTAGACCCCGAGTCCTCCCACTGCACATGTTGGGGGTGGTGGTGAGGATGGTGGAGATGGTCATGGTCGTGATGATAGTGATGACGGTGGAGATGGTGGTGGTGGTGGTAATGATGGTCATGGTGTTGGTGACGATTGCGGTGATGATGATGATGGTAGTGGTGGCAATGGTGGTAGTGTGGTGATGCTGAGGGTGGTGATGACAGCAGTGACTATGGCGATAGTGGAAATGGAGGTGCTAACAGGGATGGTGGTGGTGATGGTACTGATGGTAGCGGTGATCATGGCGATGGTCACTATGGTGATGGTAGCGGTGATCATGGCGATGGTCACTATGGTGATGGTGGTGGTAAAGACAACTAACATTTACTGAGAACTCAACTGAAGTGTTTTATTCAAATTATCCCAATTTAATCCTAAAAACAATACTCTGAGGTAGGCATTACCATCAGACTAATTTTATTGATGAGGAAACTGGGGTTACCTTCCTTGCCCAGGGTCACAGGGTGGGAATTGGCACAGCTGGACAACTGGGCCATCTGACTCGAGTCCATGCTCTCAACCCTTACATTCAACTCCCTTGGCCAGGCATGATTATGGTGCTTGCAAATCAGTGTTTGCACCGGCCCAGGCCCCCTGCTAATATAGTTTGGATACTTGTCCCCTTCAGATCTCATGTTGAAATTCCATCCTCAGAGTTGGAGTGGGGCCTTTGGGGGTGTTTGGATCATGGATGTGGATCCCCCGTGTATGGCTTGGTGCCCTCCCTGCCGTAATGGGTGAATTCTCACTGTATTAGTTCACACAGAGCTGGCTGTTTAAAAGAGCCTGGCACTGCCTCCTCCCTCTCTTGCTCTGCTCTTGCCATGTGGCATTCCTGCTCCCCTTCACCTTCAGCCTTGATTGGAAGCTCCCTGAACCCCTCACCAGAAGCAGACATTGGTGCCTTGCTTCTTACACAGCCTGCAGAAGCGTGAGCCAAATATAGTTTTCTTTATAATCACCTAGTCTCAGGTGTTCCTTTACAGCAACACAAAATAGACGGACAGATCTGCTAAGGGGGAAGCCAGAGCTCAGACCCAGAGGGCTTAGATACCCAGTCCCGGTCCCACTGGAGGTCCCAAGGGACTCTGGATGCAAGGCAGGGTGGCCAAACCTGTGAGCTGCAGGATCTGGTCATCAAAATGGGTAACAGCTTCATCATGCATGACCTGACCTCCGATGACGAACTCCAATTGTCCTTCATCCACTAGGTGGCGGACCTTGGTGCAGGTGGGCAGAGAGAGAAAAGCCAGTTCACAACTCCTGCTCACGGCTGAGTCTTCGGGGATGTGCCCATAGTGCCTCATGTGCCCTCCATTAAACTCCTCACCCTTGCTTAATTTGCAAAGGCAGGACACTGTTCTGGTCCATATTGTGTCCCCATCTCCTAGAAGACATGCGGCCCATGGCTGACATTGAAATATGTATATATATTATATATATGTATATATATTTGCTTTTGAAATAACTTCAAACATTGAAAAAAATACATATAGCACAAAGAGCTCCTGTTATCTTTTCCCAGACTTACTTGTCGTTAATGTTTCTTACCTGTTTGGCTTGACATTCCTCCTTTCTCTATGCACTTACTGTGTTTTTTCTAAACCACTTAAAGTAAATTGGCAATAGCATACCTGTGACTCTAAATTTTCAGTATATGTACACATACAGCTGTGTATTACTTTTGATTTACTTTCTAAAGGTATAGTATCTGCAGGCAATTCACTCATTAAATGAGCACCTACTACACATCAGGCACTATCCAGGGACTCAGCAGTGAGCAAAGACAAAAATCCTTGTGTCCAGGGAGCTGGACTGACCACAGACTGCTCTAAACAAGTCCTATGAACAGCCCAGTGGACCTTTGGCCTCATGGTGTTTGCTGACACAGCCCTGGCCATGGCCAGAATGCCCAACTGAGTTTCCTGCTGGGTCTTCATTGGGCCACCCCGGTCAGCTGTGTCACCACCTGGTGACTACGTTACCTGGTGTTTCTGCTGGTCTGATGCGACACTATCCCACCACAGTCGAAAAAATTCCTGTTCCACGGAGATGAACCGGCGCTGCTGCCCACGGGTCAGCTCTTCTACCACGGAGGTGTAGACATTGGCGGCATAAGCCCGCATACTTTCCTGGGGAGGGGGACACCATCACACTAACCCCAGTGCAGGCTCCAAGAAGGCTTGGGAGACCAGGTGACCTTGGAGCCCCTGCCACTCACTCAGTGCATCTGCACAGGGTGGGGGGGGCCCTTCTCTTTGCATGCCCACTACTCACCCACCAAATGGCTATGGAGGGTCCCCTCTGTGCCAGATGTACAGGGAGGCCTAGGACTAAGAGGACAGCATGGGCTCTCCCTGCTTGGATGAGATCATGCTTTCATATCACAACACCCTGCATAGGCAGAGGGATGTACCAGCCCAGGTCAGGAGTCTGGGAGAGCTTCCCAGAGGGGGCAAGCAGGCCAGCCTTGAGGGGGCTTTGTGGGGGAAGCACAGGAAAGCCCTAGGGAGGGGAAGGGTGTGTTCCAGGGATCCCAAACGGGATCAGCTTGGGCTGAAATAAATGTTGGCAGCAGACACTGAGAAGAGGTCCCTGGGGTCTGCAGGCCAGGAGCTCTACAGGCTGGGGTGCAGTGGCTCCCATCAGAGCCTCCAGGGTTTGGCACACAGCAATGCCCAGAGAGTGCTCTTTAAATGTACTGTTAAGAGCATTGGGCTGGGAGTCAGGAGGTGTGGGGGTTATTCCTGAGTGACCTTGGGCAAGGCTGATCCTTTCTGTGTCTCAGTTTCCTCTTTGGCATGATTCCCCCTACCCTTACACTGTCTCCATCTTGAGTGATTCCCACCACCACCACCACCCCCCCCCCAGAGGCTGCCAAACGCATCCCAGGACTGGATTAATACTCTGCATCAGACCCTCTTCCTGCCCCTCTCTCTTCTTCAAAATGTCACTACTCGTTTAGAAATATTCTTTGTAAAGTTAACGCATCCATACTCACAGAAGGATTTTTATTTATTTGTTTAGATATTTCCTTCCTCATTCCAAAAAAAAGAGTTTGAAGAGGCCTGTTTAGTACTACTCAATCACCCACCCCCGAAACCAAAGGAAATTGAGGCTTTTCCCTTATTTTCTTTTTGCATTCTTATCATTTATTTAACGAATATCCAGGGAGCACCTATTCTTCTGGGCATGTCAGTGAATAAAACAGACAAAGCCCCTGCCCTGTGGAGCTCTCATGCTAGGGGGGGAAACAGAGGATCAACAAGCCAGTAGGTAAAATATAGGGACCCTTAGATGGTGACAAGTGCTATGGACAAAAACCTAAAAGGACGGGGAGAGAATATGGGCGTACATAGGGGTGGTCAGAAAGGCCTCACCAAGAAAGGGACTTTGAACCAACAACCAGAAGGAGAGAAAGAACTGTGCATTTGGGGCAGGGCACAGGCGGTGCAAAGGCCCTTAGGCAGGCGTGGTCTTGGAGATGTTGATGTTGGTGGAAGAGCAGGGGACCAGTGTGGCTGGGAGGAGGGAGGACAGGTGGGGCAACTCTGTACCCTTCTGAACTGTAGGGATCTGCCCACTGCTTGCCTCAGCCAGTGCAGGACACATGTCCAACGGCCACTGAGCATTTACAGACATGATCATAATTTGAGTTCTTCCTGTCTTCATGTTCGAGGGGCAGAAGAGGGATGAGAATGTCTGGCTTCCTGGGAAACTACAGGGCTTCCCTGAGGCCCAGCCTGGCATCTCAGATCAGACTTCTCCGGACCCCAGCAGCCCCAGGCTAAGCTGGGAATCTGCCATCTACCATTCCTGGAGTGTTCAGGCACCCTGCATATACAGTAGGGCTTACTCTTCTCCCTTTACAGATGGGGAAACTGAGGCTCATGAGGTGATCACAGGTCCAACCCCAAAGCCTACCTCAGGGGTAGGAAGCACCCTGACCTGAACTCCAATATCCTGCCCTGTGGGGAACCCAGCCCAGCCTGCTTCCCAGATGGCGCCTGTCCCCTTGCTCTGAAGCCAGCCCCACCTCTTCTGCTCCAGCTTACCTGGCAATGTCAAGCCCCACACAGGAGCCCCCATTCCTCCTACCCAGGAATGCAGGGACCCATCCAATCAGTAAGTCGCTACAGAAGGGGAAACTGAGGTTCAGAGTCAGGAAGAGAGCAGCCCAAAGTCAGCACCTCAACCAGTCCACAGCAGAGTCTGGTCTCGAACCCAGGCTGAACCTCCTTCTTTTCCACCAGCATCCGGCCAGGGAAACAAACCCACCCTCGGATGCCAGGGAGAGAAAGAAGCTGCGGTTTTAGGGGGCGCGCGTGGAGCGTCGCTGGCCACTTACCTGGACCGTGTAGACCCAGCCCACGTCCATGTGGCTATGCGGCACCACGAAGGCTCGAATGGGGCCCGCGGCCTGGGCGCCGGGCTGTCGCAGCACAAGAAGATGCAGGAGCAGCAGCAGACAGTGCAGTAGCCCCATTCCAGCGGGTGGCTGGGACTGCGCTCCACTTTGGGGAGCGCGGAGCCGCTATAGCCCAGCCGGCAGACTTCCGGGTCTCCGGAGGAGGGCGGGGCCGGAGGCGGGGCGAGCGCGGGGCGGAGCGGCTTAGGCTCTGCGGCTCAGCGCTCCACCCCCAGCTCTGGTCTACTGACTGCCCTGTGGTTCTTTAAGCCCTGACCGCCGCTTGCCTCCCAGTCTTTTCTCCTTTCACTGTGTGACGGTTTTGTGGCCAGGAGTTCCACAAAGACTACGCTGCCAAATAAGCCAAATTTATAGCAGAGTCCTTTTATTGAAGAGCCCGCTGGCAACTGCCTCAGTGTCCCAACGTGGGGTTTCTGAGAGCAGCCCTGAGTGCTTAAGGAGTCCCGGTTTTTAGGGCTTGGTCTGCATCCTGGTTGGCAGATAGGCTGTCTAGGTGCATTTGGCGCGTGAGGGGGTAGCAAGAGAACATTGTACAGAAGCAGAGTTTTGCAGTTAGTTAGACATACGTTATACATCTTTGTTTTAATGTTCCCATACATCCCAGTTCTAGTACTTTTCCTCCATATGTCTTTGTCTCAGTATTCCCTCCACCTGGCATTGTTTAAAGGTCAGTCTGGGGATAGTCAGTTGGTTTCCCAGGTCCAGGAGTTAGTCAAGCAAGAAGTTAGTGAGTACTTTCCCATTTATCTTGGGAGTGAACCAGAATTACTCCATTTTGCTGAGGGCTTGCAGCCTAGGAATTTGTCAGGAGTTAACTGGTATTTTTCTACATTAGCCTAGACCTAACAATAGCGAGCCTACCTCCTCTGATGGTCCAGGCCAATTGCCCCTGCTAGATTGGCGAATCTTCTCCTTGCCTGCTGGTGTCTTGACCTGGTTGGGGGCACACTTACCCATTGAAAACCTAAACCTCTGAACCTGCAGAGTTCCCAGTTGTGTGGATAAGAAGTACAAAAAGTATAAATTCCCCAAGTAGGTCATTGGAAGTGATACTAAATTAGGCTATTCCTGCTTACCTCTCTTAGTTCTTAGACCTAAGTGTTTTATCCACTGGGGACACCCGCTGCTGGTTATTAACTTGGGGTGTATATGCACCCTGGATGATGTTGCCCCAGATTCACAGGTGGCACCTCCAGGCTGGTGTTGTAGCTGAGATTTCAACTGGCTATCTCATTCACCCTCAGGCTGGCAGCCTCTGAGTGGCATAACACATAATGAGACCAGTAGACACCATGGCCCTGTGCCTTCCTTGCTGTGGAGGGGATCCCTTGGCTAGATGTGGTGTTACATACTCTCTTGGGCTTTACCTCAGAGAAAGCCAGCAGCTATGTCACAAGAATGCTCAAGCAGTCCATGGAGAGGCCCACACAGAGAAGAATTGAGGCCTTCAGCCAATAGCCGACACTGCCTTGCCAGCCACAGGAGTGAGCACTTGGAAACAGACCCCCCAGCCTAGCCCAGCTGTCCTGGTAGACATCTTGACTTCAGTCTCATGAAAGGCCATGAGCCAGAAAGGCATAGCTGAGCCACTCGTGAATTCTTCATCTACAGACACTGTGAGGATAATAAATGTTGATTGTTGTTTTAAGCCACATCCTTGAAATATTTGGGAATTCTTCCCCTGTGTTTGGTGACCTGAGTAAGGAACCATTAATCACTCTGGGGAAGCAGTGGGGGACTGAGTAGGTGCCCTTGTCCCAGTGTTGCAGTGACCCTCTTCCCAGGAGCATGCTCTCTCCTTCAGTTGATGGGGTTTAGATTTGAAAACTGCCTCAGGTCTGGACACTGGGTGAGGGATTGGGTGGCTGCCTCAGCCTCCTAACCCATCTCGCCTTGGTTTGTTTTGAGTAGCATCCTGTCAGTACCCATCTATTTTGCCCCTAGGGATAACCTTGCTGTCTCTCTGCCTCCCCATGGATCATGGATCCTCCTGCCCTCTAACCGTGAAGCTCATTATGATGATCACATTGCCACAGCTGCATCTCTGAGCTACCTGGCAATGCTGCCGCTTAGTGGAACGTCCTCCGAGTGCCCTGTGGAACACTGTCATGCAGTGGGTTTTCTGGCCACCCTAACCCACAGTCACTTCTCAATTTTTTTTTTTTTTTAAAGACAAGGTCTCACTGTTTCCTGGGCTAGAGTGCCTTGGTATCATCATAGCTCACTGCAACCTCAAACCTCTAGGCTCAAGTGATCCCCCTGCCTCAGCCTCCGAAATAGCTGGGACTATAGGTGCCCACCACATTCAGCTAATTTTTTGTAGAGACCAGGTCATGCTCTTGCTTAGGCTCATCTCAAAGTCCTGGCCTCAAACAAACCTCCTGCCTTGGCTTCTCAAAGTACTAGAATTACAACTGTGAGCCACTACATCAGGCCTTTCTGAATCTGTTGATCCCTTCTACCATCTGCCATGGTTTCTGACACTCGTTCTTCGCTGAGCATGGGTAAACAGTTTGTCCATGCTTCGGGAGCCATCTCAGCAGTGTGTCAGCACTGTCTCCTGGTGTTAAGTCCTGCGTGAATGATATCTTACCTTGGGCTGCCATAAGAAGAAGCCATAGGCTGAGTGGCTCCAAAAGCAGATGTTTATTTTCCCATACTTCTGGAGCCTGGGAAGTTCAAGATCGAGGTATCAACAAGATCAGTTTTTGGTGAGGCCCTCGATCGAGGTATCAACAAGATCGGTTTTTGGTGAGGCCCTCTCCTTGGCTCATAGATGGCTGTCTTCTCCCTGTGTCCTCACATATCACATGGCTTTTCCTCTGTGCATGGAGAGAGAGAGGAAGGAGAGAGATAGATAGCTGATGTCTCTTCCTCTTCCAAGGGCATCTCCTATGGATTAGGGTCCTACCCTTATGACTTCATTTAAGCTTTTTAAAAATAATTAATTAATTAGTTATTTTTTTAGAGACAAGATCTGGTTCTGTCACCCAGGCTGGAGTGCAGTGGTGTCATCATAGCTCACTGCCGCCTCAAGTGCTCCTCCAACCTCATCTCCCAAAGTGCTGGGATTATAGCATGTGTCACCACTCCCGGCCTCATCTAACTTCAGTTACTTCCTTACAGCCCTTATCTCCAAATATGGTCACGTACACAGCTATCATTTAATAAGAAAACAAAAACAAAAAACAAAAAAAACTTCTATATATAAATTTTAGGGGGATAAAATTCAGTTCATAACAACTGAAGAGGCCTCCATTTGAGTAAACCACTGGTGACCCAACCTGATATTCCTGCCTCACAGGTCTGGTGAGAAGTGTGCCTGCCTCTTGGTGGTATATGCTGGTTCAACCTGCAGCCCCTTTGGAGTAGAATCCTGGTCCTCCTTTGCTGACCTAGCATGTCCCCAGCTGGCCATTTTTGTGACTTAACCCCAGTGATTAATCTGGTGGCCAGCATGGATTGTGCAGTGGATTCAGAGTGCAGCCTGTATAGTCTCCCAGGCTGAAGGCCATGGTGTCATCTTCAGGCAAGAAGGGTACACCGTTCTTTAAGAGAGGAGTTGGGCACATCACAGACCCAGTGGGTTCAGGCACACCTGGGGAACCACAATTTAGTGATTGAGCATTAACCTAGACATCCCACCTCTGTCTTCTCAGGGCCCCAAGCTTGGCTGCAGACCCGCCTGGGCTGGGGACACACCTGCTCTGCAGTTCTGCTCCTCATAACTCAATCCTGGGCTGCTTCTCACATTTTTCTCTCTCCAGCTGCAGAAGATGAGAGCTTATGCACTGCCAAGAATATAAAGAATCCTTTATTCTGGCTCTCACACTTGACCTTCATTCAGCTGGTGATTATTCACCCTCAGCTTTTCCCTGTCTCTGAAGCAGTGACTGCCCTAAGTAAGAGCCATAAACTTCTGAAGTCACTATTTCTGCCTCTGGCTCAAAAGCCAGAAAGACACTGTGCTTCTGCGGCAAATTTCCTTCCACTAGCACAACACCCCAGTTCACTGACAGTGAGAATTTCACAATTGTACCACTACCATATTCTGGACTACCTGTGCTCCTCTGTCCACCTGTGAGAGAACCTGAGGCCAGCTGGTCAGCAGTTAATCCAACTCTAAAACCTGTTTCAGGGTCAGCCCTTCCAGAGCACTCTGAGGGTCAATAGTCATGGGTGTTGGCTCTTGGGGAAACAGATTAGGAGGTTGGTATTTGCACATGGGAAGTTTAGTGGGAGGCTCTTGGGAGCACCCAGGGACAGGCCAAGAAGTAGGCAGGAGTGGATGAGGGAGGCGGAACTCTAAGGCAGTCACAAGTCTCAGCTGCTCTGATATTGGTTCTTCTGAACCTGTCCTAATCATAATCAAGCCTGGCCTTTATTTCTCTGCAAAGACCAGTCATTGGATGTGGGCTATCCCAGGGAAACTTTTCTTCAAAGTACAGGTGTGACTCTGGGTGAGGGAGTTCTGTGGTGGAGGACAGGTCAGCAGAGCACCATCGGGTGCCACACCTCCCAGCCACTGGGGATGAGGGCTTCAGTCTTGTGATTCTCTCGGTTACACTATGGGAGGTGTTACTTAGGTTGGTGACACTCCCACAGTTAATGTGGAGAAGGAAAAGCTTTCCCCAAAGGTAGAGATGCTTTTCTGGTAAGGAAAAATAAGAAATGTCCACTATAACATTAAAATAGCAAACAATAATAAACTATACAAAAATCCAATTATTTTGTTGAGTTCTGGAATGCTAAGGCAGTAATGTCTGAGGTTAGGATGTGGACTATTTCTTTTAGGGAACATCATCCCAGCATTCCAGGTTTGCCTGCCCTGATTTGTCAGATAAAAAAGGGAAGAAATATTTACTAAGCATCTACTATGCTCTAAACTAGGTTTGAGGGGCCAGAGAAAAGTGTCTCTTTTCATGCAGAACTTACATTCAGGTAGGGGGAGACGGGCAATAAGCAACACAAATAAGCAAAATATATACTATGTTGGGCAGTGGTAAGTGGATGCCACGGCACTCCAGGTTGGCAATAGAGAGAGACTCTTAATAAATAAGTAAATAAACAAGAACAATCGGGTACAATTTCA